ACAGAAGTCTTTGTGGAGAGTGGCCAAGAGTATGTTGAAAGCAAAAGTTCTTCCAAAAAAGCTTTGGGCAGAAGCCATATCATACTTGCATGTCCGTATATTTTGGAACCGAAAGTTCTTACAATTTAGCCCTATCAAAATCAAACACCTTTTGAGGCCTTGGAATGGGTGGAAACCAAAGGTTAAAAACACTTTTAAAATTCCCTTTGGATTGTGTTGCTTAAAGTGTGTGGCGGAATGCCATTCAAAAGAGAGCGAAAACTATGTTGAAAACAGTGTGAAAAGGTGCATATTTGTGGGGTACAGTTATGAAAACTTAAAGGGATATCGCTTCTATGTCAATCCTCTTTCAAAAAAAAATAATTCTCTAATAAAAGATCGTTGTCTTATGTTGTTTTTGATGGAGAATAAACGTCATTGGGATTTGGTTAGTTGAGTGGTTATTAAATAAAAACAGCCAGGAGTAAATGTAATTTGGCCAAATATATAGGAGGACAATTTTGTCCTTGAATATAAATTCCTATGGAAATGAAGGCAACCAAAAAATGTTTGGTTCACCGATTTTTTCTTTCTCAAATTACTCCCCTATTTCCCAAGGTACCTTCTAGTCGAAACATCATTCGTCCAGTCCTTCTAGTTCAACATCATCGTCTTTAACAAGTACCCCTCCACGGAAATGGAGATCTCTACAAGAGATTTATGGACAACTTGATGAATGTCATCTTGTGGTCTATCAAGAACCAAGCAAGTTTGAAGAAGCAACAAAAATTGCAGAATGGCAAAATGCAATGGATGAGGAGATGAATGCATTAGAAAAAAACAAAACATGGGAGTTGGTTGACTTGCCATTTGGTAAAGAAGTAGTGGGGCTGAAATGGGTGTACAAGCTGAAATACAGGCCAAATGGGTCTATTCAGAGATACAAAGCTCGGTTAGTCGCACTTGGATACATGCAGCATGAAGGCATTGATTTTGAAGAAATGTTCTCTCCAGTAGCAAGGTTTGACATGATTCGAACTACTCTTGCTCTTGCTGTTTATTTTAACTGGAAAGTTTTTCAGTTTGATGTAAAATCAGCCTTTTGCCATATATGAACCTATGCTATAATTTTAACTGGAAAAGTTTTATTTCAGTTTGATGCTAAAAATCAGCCTTTTTAAATGGTTATTTTGTAAGAATGGTAAGTGTATGTGCTAGCAACCTAAGGGAAACTATGAAATGTATGCGTGAAGAAACAAGAATAGTCTTTGTAAATATTCTACAAGAATAGCGAGGCTTCTCTACCGCCTCAAAGGCAAGAGCATCTCAGACAAGAAATGAGTCCGGTGGGACCCTATCCTGGGAGGAATGTAGACGCCAACATCTTTGATAAAATAATGGAACACTTTCCAAAAGAGTGCAAACGAAGCCCACGTCCTGATGTTAAACCAGAAGATAAATAAGGCACGACAATTGTGTAACCAGTTAATTGGATCTCAAATTTGCCTTTATGTGGAATGACTTAATCTATACAAGAAATAGCATTGACAGTTATTCAATGAATTAAGAAGATTATTAGGCTGACTGAAATTTGATATGACTGGATTTGGGCGTTGATGAGTTATTTTTTGGGATTGGAAAATAAAAAAAAAAAAAAAAAGAAAAAGACGGTAAACAAAAAGGAAAGTATAACAAATAAAGAAAAAAAACCACAAAACAGAGACTGAAAAAGAAAAGCTAAGGTCACAGAAACACAACAAAAGGAAAAAAAAAACAGAAAAATAAACGTCCGATGGCGTTTGGCTAGGACAGCCCTTTTTAGCCTAAATTTATTAAAAGAAGGCCACTTCTCCTCCTTCATTGTAACCATCTCTTGTTGGGCGTGAATTGAAGCGCGCTTCTCGTCTATTCTTCATAGCTTCAGATATGCGACTCTACTCCTCTCTCTCTCTCTCTCTCTCTTCCTCTCTCTCTCTCTCTTGTGAATGATTCTAAAGCCACACAGTCCGAGCTTTGCTCCTCTTCATTAGTTGAGTTAAAGCCCGACTAATGGCATTCTCAAAAGTCTCCCCTACGGTTCATTTCCACTATTTCACTCACACTTTGGTGCTTCCTAGTTTATTTTGGGACCAAAGCTTACTACTTAACTAACGTTTATTTATTAAATGAAAATTTAAGAATAATTAATAACCCGTTAAATAGCAAAATTATAAAAAGACGTAATTTAGGGGTGCCTCAATGCCCATCCGGTTTACTCGTTTGGGAGAAAAAGACTCCGGCCTACTCATATTGTTTAATTATCACCGTGGCAAACTCTAAAGCTCGCACACTTCACGCCCCCAAACCTATCAAAACACCCCTGCATCCTTAGGGTATAATCGCCCAAAAACTCAACTTTGTCAATTAAAAAACGGTTTCTCGATTCCATTGCAAAAAATAATATTAGCATGCTTCTAATGCCCAATTCTTATAGTTATACAAAGTACGGTTTCCGTCAAATGGCAAAATCGAATAACATCAGTTTTCAACTCAAAGCCTAATTCGTCCACACCTTATAAGCCACTTCCCGAGTGGCACCCTTCTCTCTCTCTCTCTCTCTCTCTCTCTCTCTCTCTCTCTCTCTTGTGAATGATTCTAAAGCCACACAGTCCGACTTTGCTCCTCTTCATTAGTTGAGTTAAAGCCCGACTTGGATCTCAAAAGTCGTTCATTTCCACTTTCACTCACACTTTGGTCTTCCTTAGACCAAAGCTACTACTTAACTAATTTATTATTAATGAATTTAAGAATTAATTAATAACCCGTTAATTAGCAAATTATAAAAGACTATATTAGGGTCCTCATGCCCATCCTTTACTCTCTTGGAGAAAGACTCGGCCTCTTTGGTTAATTATCACCGTGGAACTCTAAAGTCGCACACTCACGCCCCCAAACCTTCAAACCCCTCATCCTAGGGTATAATCGCTCAAACTCAACTTTGTCAATTAAACCCGATCCATTTGGCATATAGCATGCTTTAAGCCCAATTCTTATAGTATACAAAGTACGGTCCGTCGGCAAAATCACAAAATCAGTTTTCAACTCAAAGCCTAATTCGTCCAACACCTTATAAGCCCACTTCCCGAGTGGCACCTTAAAAAACCTACCATCCTAATCGATAGTAGAACTTTGTGCACCCTAATCCTCATACAAATGAGGTACGAAGCATACCTATGGATTTCAGTCTAAGTAGTGGGCCCTTGACCAAACTAACCAGTCAGGATTTAAAGAAATGTGTTGTATGACCTAGAATCCTCGATAAATAAGGCTAGAGTCGGGCTTCTCTCTGAATTACATTATCTTATTGATTCATTACTTTTAATGCACAATATTTCTGATATTGTCGTGCATTATTAGTATGCTAATGCATCTTATAACTGTCACCCATGCAAATAATATTTTGATTCTCAATTAATACCCAAACTGTTGATTCATATGAAAAAAGCCAAAAACCTAGTCCCCGAACCCAATGATTCAAGGTTAGTGTTTTTATCCTAAAAGGCAAATTAAAATGGAGTCAAACATGGGGTTTTTACCTTATATTTTTTTCGAAAACAAAAGCAAATTAAGGTTAGCGACTTTAAACACACCACACATACAGCCAAAACACTCCAAAGAGTCAACTCGACACACATAAGCACTAAACCAAGCCATAACTAACAAAAAGGAACCATAAGGAGTTCCTACCAGTTTTGTGGCGAATCGACCAATGGACCCAACTGGATTGACTTCGTCCTTTGGATCTTTCCCATGACACTCGGAAGGGGCTCATAATATTGTCCTAGAGCTTGGGTTAAGTTAACCCAACCTAGTTATGTGGGACCCATTTTAATAGTTCTTTTATTCAAAATCCTAGCCAATTTTGAATTTAGGGTGCTAATATTACAAACTTTTTAAATCGGGGTGCCAAAGGGACGAAAGTCAGATTAGAGTGTTTTTGTAACAACTCACAAAACTCGAGGTTTTTTTGTAGGTTAAGCCAAATTTCTCTTTAATAGGGGTAATCAAATTTTTTGTTCGGATTCTTAATGATGAGGCTTCAATTTTTGCAATACCTTCACATCCTTTTATCTCCTCCATGCAGTAAATCGCAATATCTTACAGCTACATTCTCGTCTTCAAATATCTGCAACAAGAATTTTGTTACTTCGATTGAGCAACAGAGAGATTAATGGGACATAAAATAAATAAAAGCCAGCTTTTAATTAACTCACGTAAGAAATATGTATGCAAGACATTTGGTAAGAAAACAACAAGAGGTCACCAAAAACTACACCAATGTTGTCGATGGAGATGTGAAAATGGCGGTGTTCTATCTCTTGTTGCTTAGGAGCATGACAATTTGGCCTTATATGCCCTAAAGAGTTTTGTACACATGAATCCAACATGGCAATGTTAATGTCGTTCTATGTGGCTTTTTTAAATCTCTAATGGGTCATTTTCATTTTATTCGTACGTTGAAACACCAAAATAGAAAAAAATTAGAGAGTTGAAATACTAAGAGCATCTCCAATGCTAATGTGGATTGTGGCTGATATATCATGTGGTTGATATATCATGTGGTTGATATATCATGTGAAATAGAAAGTATGAATGATGATGTGACTGAATGTCTATTTATAGACAATGAATTTTAAAAATCTCTCTCCATGTACTTGTTTTGAATCCTCTTCCATCTTTTTTTTTCTCTTTTTTTCTGATCCTACAATTCAATATGTAATCAATCACTAAAGAGCAATAAATGCTCACATTGTCTAAGAGACCCTTTAGAAATAGGTGTAGTCGACAATATATATTTATTTTTTTGACACCTCAGCTTGACATCCTAAATAAACATTAACATTGGAGTCGTATTTTTCTAATGTGACAATTAAATAAGAACAATATATATTTGTATTAGAGATACTCTGAATTTATAATTCTTTTTAAAAAGGATAAATAACGAGTACAAAGACTGAAATGCAGGAAGGGAAAAAATCAGTGTTACAAAAGATAGAAGGCAATAAGTAGTTTTTTTTTTAAGGCGCCCGAAGGAACGCAGCGGTCCAACAGTATCACAGTTACAATACGATGACATTCTCATTCTTCATCTACTTGCAAGCTTCACCATCCTGTCTTGTCTAGTAAAACTAGTTCCAAATTGAGTGTTCGATTTTGATGCCAAATTAACAAAGTGCTTGATCCTCTTGTTCCAAATAGGATTCGAAGGATTCATAAACATTCGCAATGGAGGAGGTAAAAGCCAGAGAAGTGCTTTACGAGACTCGTAATCACGCCATCAGGCCGTACAAGTCCAATTGCCCTACTCAGGTCACTTTCTGAATTCATTTTTTCTCCTTATTAAATCAAATCTCTACTTCCCCAATTCTAATATCATATATTCAAAACTTCACCCTTATTTTATGGTTTTAATTTGATTGATTTCAGAGAAATGAAGATGGAAAAGGAGTTTTATCATCACTTCTCTCAGTTTCAGGTACTTTCAGTTCTCTAATTTTTTCAGATTCTTTCGCTTCTCTTTTTGTTACTCTTGATTTTGTACGATGTTACCGAATTATATCATTCGCTGATGGCTAGCTAATCTTGATACTTGTTAGATTTACTGAATTATTGTGTTTGGTGTTGCTAGGGTTGAGCTCTGTTTTACCTTAAGAAGCCACTGAACCTGTGTGTTTATCTGCGGTTATGATTATTCAATTTTTGAGACTTGCTTTTATCTTGCCCCTTAAGAATTGTATTTTGATGTCCATCAATGTTGTAGTAGGCTTGTTATGCAATTACTCTATTGACCTTTTCTTCACTGTTAATACTACCTTAGGAATAAGTCAACTTAAGGAGAAATGGAGGGATTACAGGAACCCGTCGAAAATCATGAAACCGATATTCTTGATTATCTCTCCAAGAGGTGAAAGAGTGGCTGTTGCTACCGGGAATCAGATTACTATCTTGCGGAAGGAGGATGACTACCAGGAGCCATATGGCATTTTTACCAGTAAGATTTACTTGCCAATTTCATAACATTGTGTTACAACTTACAAGTAGGGAATAATTTTGATTGGAAGAATAGATTTTTCTGGAGATACCAAGTCATTGTGCATTGATTGTATGTCAATCTTTTTCATTCTTCATATTATGCTGCCAAAAGGGTTTGTAATATTAACTGTGAAATGGCTGCTTTACTGTCAATTCTGCATGGGCTGGCCAGCTGAAATAGTGTTTTGAACTGAATAAAAAAAATATAGCTCTGCTTCTTATTTTGATTTTGGTTAAAAGGTCTTTTAGCTCTTCATAGATGTGTTGAAGTCAACTCTTTTCTGTGACTTACTCATAAAAACCTTCTTAAATTGAGAAAAAAGACTACCAAAATACTAATGTGGAATTGACTTATTCTCAGCCCAGTTACATTGAATGATAAGCATCCAATTTAAATATTTTCTTGAAACGTAATGTAAATTCGTTTTGGGAATCTAGAGAGATTCCTTTGCTACTTTCCTGATTTATTTGCTGTATTTTGCCTCTTCAAACTAAAGGTTGTCCAATTTCTGTTTCATGAATCAGGTGGCAACCTTGCTATATTTGTCCATGGAGTTTGGTCAGAATCTCATGATATTCTTGGAATTGCTGATGACAATGATGTTCTCTATTTTATCAAAGCAAATGGTGAAGAGATTACAAGAGTTATGAAGAGACAATTAGAAACGACTTCTGCAATAATAGGACTGATTCCACATGACAGTATTGATGCTTGTGGCTCTTGTTTGTAAGTGTTATCCCTTCTCTCTTTGTCAGATGAGTTCAGATAGGATGCCTCAGACCTCTATTAGAATTATTTTTTTAATGAATTTAGAAATTCATCTTTGGTGTGGGTTTTCAATATTGTACATGTATGCATGCGCCATGCATGTGGCTTCAGAAGTTGAAGAGTTTTGACATTTAATTAAGTGTGGAAATGTTTTCTGGTGTAGCTTCATCATTCTCACAGCAGATGGAGTTTTGTACCATATTGAGATCACCCAAGCTGCTTCTATTTCCTTCATGCACACATCAAATAGTGGGTTAACTGTGAAGGGACAGTTCCCCAAGGATGTGTACTGCTTTGACTATGATTTGGAACGTTCTTTGCTTCTTGTCATTGGTAGTGCAGTTAGCACCTCACTAACCTCTAGTGGCAAATCTGGTATGTTTCGATATCATTTATTTTCCTTGTAGAATTCAAGTTAAGCTTGCATTTGAGATATTTATATAATTGATTATATGATTCTGTATTATAATTTTATGGGTACAAAAGATTGGAAGACTACCGAGTATGATTTGTTTTATTTTCTAAACCATGGGTGGTTATCTGTCATTTGTCTTCTCAGCGACGTCAAGATATGCTTTATTTGGGATACTAATTATTGCATTTTGTCGGGGTAGGATGTGTCCGGAACCTATAGAGATGATTGTTGGTTAAAATGGATAGATTTTGGTGGTATGAAAGATGCAAAAATTCTTTGCCATTTATGCCTTTCTTTCTTTTTGCATTGTTATGGTGTTTGAGGATGGAGAGAAATGCATGTATCTTCAAAAATGAAAGTATGTCTTTTATTTTGTGGTAGGACTAGTATGCATTTTTGGCTTCTATGTGGAGTTAGGCTCCATATCATTTACAGGGGTTCTCTTTGAATTTTATCCAACTTTATTGGAGGGCATTACATTTTGCTTTATTTTGATGTTCTTCTTTGTAGCTTTCTTTTTACTTTACAAGAGAATTTGTTGTCCTCTGTAGAAGACTCCTCTTTTTTTTAAGGAAAAAAGAAAGATGTTTTTTAATTGGATCCTAATGTTGTTATGCGTGCTTGAGCCTGATCAGAACCCGTGAAGATTCTGTTATGAATTGGTTATTGCAATCTGGATACTGCGGAAAGTTTATTTTTTTTACTATACTTTTGAAGTTCCACGCTGATCATGTATTTATTTTCTTACAGGATCATGTTCTCTTTCTCTTTGGCGTAAATGTCCAAATTTAAATCTTGAGCCACTATTCTCTTTTCAATTTGAAGGCTTATATCATAAACCAAAAGATTATATAGGTCAGATAGCATATCCAAAGGTGCTACTATCACCACAAAGAAAGTTTGTTGCTACTTTAGATATAAGAGGATGCTTGCACTTTTTTGTGCTCGATAAAGAACAATGCTCACTTTCTAACTTTGCTGTTGGAGAGAGATTAGGCTTACTGGCGATAAACAGGCAGGATGAACTTTTGAATGATAATGTGGATTTTACTTGGTGGTCTGATCATATTGTGACTCTTGCGAGGAGGAGTGGCACTGTCACCTTGCTTGATATCCTAACCGGCTTAAAACTTCAAGAAAATGACCCTGCATATTCAATGCCTGTTTTAGATAGAGTAGAGCAGCTTGAAGGACGCATATTTGTCGTAGAAAGCAAATCATCTGAAGAAAGAAAGTCTTTATCTGATAATATTGGAGAATCAAGAGGCTCACACCATGTGGAGCAGATCATTGAAGACACATGCTGGAGATTGATATCAATTTCAGAGAGATCTGTTCCCGAAATGTATAGTATCTTAATCAGCAACCATAAGTATCAGGAAGCCTTGGACTTTGCCAATCATCATGGTTTGGACAGAGATGAAGTTTTGAAATCACAATGGTTACACTCTTGCCAAGGAATAAATGAAATAAATGTGTTATTATCAAAAATTAAGGATCATGGTTTTGTACTATCTGAATGCATTAACAAAGTTGGACAAACAGAAGATGCTGTGAAAGCTTTACTTGCATATGGGCTAAATGCAACTGATCAGTACCGATTTTCAGAATCAGAAGACAATCAAAGAAGCCAAATTTGGGATTTCCGTTTGGCTAGGCTTCAGTTGTTGCAATTCAGAGACAGACTAGAAACATTTCTGGGAATAAACATGGGCAGGTATTATGCTCTGTGGATGCCCATAGTTATTTTGTAGCAGAGATATTTGATTGTTTTGAAAAGTAGAATTTTGTGAATTAATAGATACAACTTCATAATTTTGTTATATTCTTTTCCTTTGAGGTTCCTCTTGCAAAGGAGAATGTTAAGGTGAATAAAGCTAAACCTACATTGATAAACCCAATGACTGCAAGCTGTGAGAGAGAGAGAGAGAGAGAGAGCTTACCTACAGGGAGAGTAAACCAAAAAAATCAAAAATAGATGAATGGCATTCAAAGCATGGTGTTATATGCTGTTATAATTCAGGTTGCAAGTTTTGTGACTTGAATCCCACATTGAAAGTATCTGATTTCAATGTGGGGTTTAATACGGTTTTTCCAATCTGATCAGCGTAGATGGTTAGAAAAAAAATGTGCTTGTAAAGATCTTGCAATTCATTTTGATAAGCTCTTGGCTTAGGAATTTCTTTTTAATCAGTGAGGTGCAAATTTTATTGCATAACTAAAAAACTGTATCTTATAATATTACCAAATTAACCTTAGATTATTCGTTATTATATATTCTCTACTATAGGAATCAATAATTATGACTTTATGTTGTATGCATATCCATTTCTCTTGACAGTTTCTACCAAACTAACAGCTTAATGACATAGTCTTGTGCAGGTTTTCTGTCCAGGAGTATGGGAAATTTAGAGTTATGCCGCTTGGTGAAGTTGCGGTAACACTTGCTGAAAGTGGGAAAATCGGTGCTTTAAACCTTCTCTTTAAACGTCATCCTTATTCTCTTTCTCCATCTATAATGCAAATACTAGCTGCTGTTCCTGAGACCATTCCTGTTCAAACATATGGACAGCTCCTTCCTGGAAGATCCCCTCCTGTGGGTGCTTCTCTCAGGGATGAAGATTGGGTTGAATGTGCAGAAATGTTAACGTTTATTAACAGTTTGCCTGAGAATCATGAGATGGATATCCAGATCAGAACGGAGCCCATTGTCAAACAGTGCCAAGGTTGCATTTGGCCATCTATTAATGAACTCTATAAATGGTACATGAATAGAGCTAGAGATATTGACTGCTATAGTGGCCAGCTGGAGAACTGTCTCAGCCTGGTTGACTTGGCTTGTTCAAAAGGGATCCATGAATTACAGCAATTTCATGAGGATATTTCATACTTGTACCAGCTGATGTATTCTGATGAGAGTGATGAAGATATATGCTTTGATATTAGTCTTATGGAGTGGGAACAATTATCTGACTATGAAAAGTTCAGAATGATGCTCAAGGCAGTTAAGGAGGAAAATGTGGTACAAAAGTTGCATGAAAAGGCAATTCCTTTTATGAAAAGTAGGTTTCATGACTTGGTCCCTGGTCATCAAGGGCAGAGTAAAGATTTCCTTTTCTCTTCACACAAGGATGGGTCATTTCTGGTCAGATGGCTTAAGGAGATTGCTTTGGAGAATAAATTAGACATATGCTTGATAGTTATTGAGGAAGGATGCAGGGAGTTGCAAGGTAATGGATTCTTCAAGGATAATACTGAAGCTGCGGAATGTGCTTTGCAATGTGTATATTTGTGCACAGTTACAGATAGATGGAGTACCCTAGCTACCATATTGTCAAAGATTCCGCAAAATCAAGGTAAGTTCTATTTGTATGGATTTATATGTAGTGTACAAGATATGATTTAGTTGCTTCTTATGCTTAGTAAATTTCTGAAGAAAATAGATTTTTTCTTAGGGTTGCATGCCAAATGGTGTACATGTAGTCAGAGCAGTTATTTTAATCTTATCCTTCTAATACATATGCATGGGTGCATGCGCACAACTTTCTTCTGTTTCTCTGATACTTTAACAAATTGCATATGCGGCGCACACCAACGTCAGACAGGTTGAAGGGTTGGCTATTGTGGCTGAATTTAGGTTAATCAAAAGCCAGAAAGTTAGGTGAACAATTAGGGTGTTATTGAAAAATGTTAGAGTTTAAGTTTGAACAAAAAAGAAAAGGAGCTGTTATTGCACTGAACTGTGTCTGTGAATAGTCCCTGTGAATAGTATCTGTTAAGGTTACTTGTGAATTGTAATTGATGAATAATACTTGTGTTAGTAATGTGTGGAATGGTAAATGGAAGGATAATTTTATAGGCTTTAAACAAAAGGTCTTAGGCATCATACATGAATTGCACCATTCAACTCGAAGTAGCATAAAATCTGTATTTTATTTTTATTAATTGAATGACAAAACTGAATTAGAAGTATTACGGTCCTATATAATTTTAGATTTTTAACTTATAGTAACATTTATTGGAAGTACTTTAAAGCAACTCCTAAACCTTTAAAAATGGGATTTTAAAATTTGTTCACATCTCCTAAGGATTTGGATTTCCAAAATAACTAAAAGAAATATTATTATTCTAACTCACAGTAACTCCAAAATGAGACTTAAAATAATAAATAAAAAGAGACTCCTAAAGAAATAGGGATAGAGTTTCTAGTGCAGCCAGAAATTCCAAAACCACTTCTTATTCTAACTACATGAGCAGCAATTGAAATAGACATGAATAAAAGCCTTAAAAAACTAGGAACTATTTTATATTTTCCCAATAGAACCTATATTAGATATGGATCATTCTTAGGTTTTTATCTCTTTCTATTTAAATTTTCTTGACTTCCTATTCTGTATCACACACTGATGTGGTTTTGAGATTTTTCCTTTGATGGTCCCTGATGGTTGGAACCTGCAAGACAAGAAATTGGGTAGGGTTGGCTTGTAACCACCGTGATGTTTTAGTCAACTGAGAGCTTAGCTTAATGCGTAATTAGACTCTTAGAATCATGTAGGCATACTTTTGCTACTGGAGAAATTCGTTTCTGTTGAGGAAAAAAAAAAAATTTATAGTTAGAGCTATAGTTGTATTCCTAATTAAACACATACTTGGATCTGGACTCCTAGCCAGCTTCCTATTTTAGAAAAAAAGACTTTTCAATTCCTTTTACTCCATGGATGTTGACCATGGTTTGCCAATTAACTATTTGTTTATCCGTCGATTCATAACTTTAGTTTAGGCTTTATCCTTGGTGTGATTTAAAGTCTGAATGATAGGATAAGGAAAGAACGGAACATGCCTTATCCTTAATTGATGTGGCTTTATGTGAGACATGCCATCTTATTTTTATTCTTGACTGTATCACCCATGTACATGGTAAAATTCATGTCAGAAAGAATGAATGATAATCAATAAAAGTGGAATGGTTAATTTTTGTAATTTATAGAAGTTAATAATGTAAGAATATTAGTGGATATCATTTGAAAATAAGTGGCTCAGATAGAATTGAATACATACTACTTTTTCACTCCTTGATATAGGATTAGGAATTGGCTTAGAGGAAGTCTCTGTCTTTCATGTTCAGGCAGTGTAGTCAAAAGTGCACGGGGCTCATGCCTAGGCTTGAAGGCACAGCAAGAAAGTATCTTGGCTATTTAAGCTACCTGGCGGGGCACATGGAAGCAAGTGCTTGCTTATTGTGTTTAAACAAGGGCCTCACATGAGACAATAAGCATTTAAGACCTGAATTTCTTGAAAATAGGTCTTGAAACCTTAATTTATTGCCTCTGTCTTAATTCTGCCCTTTATTCAAGAAATCTTTTCTTCACAAAATTGCCTGAGGCCTATGCCTTTTTGAATCCAATCGTAGATTTTATGCCAGTAATCCCTGTACTCTTTTTTCTATTAGCCTTTGTTTGGCAAGCTGCTGTAGTTAAGAGGTGATCTCTCCCACTTAAAATTGGGGGTATTCTACTCTCTCTCTCCCTCCCTCCCTCCCCCCGGGTCTCTCTCTCTCTCTCTAGATATATATTTAAAATGGAGGCTGTGGCTTTAATTGCTACTTTTTATCATTATCTCAATGCTTATGTGTGCTTTAGTAACTTGACATGTTATGATTTATATCCAAGTACTATTTGACTGCTAGTGCAGTGAACATAATGAACAAATTGTGACCTTGCAGATACTGAAATATATATCGATGGCCTAGACAAAAGACTTACACTTGCAAAAGGCCATATTGAAGCAGGGAGGCTTTTGGCATTTTACCAGGTTTGTGTTTTTCTGAGTATTGCCAATAATTTTGAGAAATGCTATATCATTGGCATTGATTGAATGGATTCTTTGGATATGCTTTCTTTTTTGGTGCTGTCCCACATGATTTTGGTTCATGTTACCAGTTAAACTTTCTTCTCTCATTTGCTTCAAAATAGTGATTCTAGGTCTTAATCTCTTTGTAGGCGTGAATTTCAAAATGATGCCTGTATATTTTTTATTCATTTTTTTTTTTTTTTTTTTTTTTTTTTTTAAGAATGGGAGGCTGTTGGCTTTAATTGCTACTTTTTTATCATTATCTCAATGCTTATGTGTGCTTTAAGTAACTGACATGTTATGATTCTTATATCCATACATTTTGACTGCTTAGTTTCTCAAGTAACAATAATGAACAAATGTGGACCTAGCAGATACTGAAAAACTAATATATCGATGGCCTTAGACAAAAGACTTATCACTATGCAATAAGGCCATAATTGAAGCTAGGGAGGCTGGTTTGCATTGTTACCAGGTTGTGTTTTTCTTGAGTATTTGCCAATAAATTTTGAGAAATGCTTATATCATTGGCATTGAATTTGGAATGGATTCTTTGGATATTGCTTTACTTTTTTGGTGCACTGTCCCAACATGATTTTGGTTCATGTTAAAACCAGTTAAAACTTTCTTCTCTCATTTGCCCTTTCCAAAATAGTGATTTCTAGGTCTTAAATCTCTTTGTAGGCGTGAATTATTTCAAAGATGATGGCCTGTATATTGTGTTATTCATTTTTTTTTTTTTTTGTTTATTTTTGTATTTGGACCATGCTGCAATCTTTGTAATGGAACTGTATTGTAATGCTATATAGAAATGACTGTGACATGAATCATAGTCCAACCTATCTATTCTGAAAAACAATTTTGCCCTCTAATTATGCACTTTGGCTATCAATTTTTGTTGATATTGTAAATAAATTGATGTGTGTTGAAATTGTTTTTCCCATACAAATACGATACTGGAAAATTTATAACCTAGGTATTTGGCACCAGAATTGAATCATACAAACTCAAAAGATAAAATTTTGCAGCAGCTATATAACTTTTTTTTTTTGATTACAATAAATTATGATGACACGGTGTTCACTTTGTATTTGTATTCAGGTTTCCAAAGCCAATGAACTTTTGCGCTTGAGGCCCCATGCCCAGATGGAAAAAAAAAAGGGTAAAAGGCAAGAGTTTCTTCGGCCACCTGATATGCCCTTTTATTCAAAATGTTTTCGGTCCCGGACCCGAAAAACCAAGGGAAGTGATAGACAAACAAATAAAATCAAGTAAGAAAAGAAAAAAGGGATAAAAGAAAGAAAAAAAAAAAAAAAATAAATAATCAGAAATCAAAAGAAAGTTAAAACAAATGGAAAAAGAGGCACACAACATGAGAATAAAGCGAAAATAAAAGGCTCACAAAAGACAAATCGTGGCGCCACAATGAACGAGACAGTAACAAAAAAAAAACAAAAAAAAAAAAAAAATGAAGAAAAAAAAAGAAAACAAAGGCCACGCCAAGGATCGACCATATGGTTGCCGGATGGTGGAGGCTCCATCAAAGGTAGAGCCAAGAGCTTTTCCTTTTCCTTTAGAATCGCAGAAGTAATATGAGTTGCACAGAATTTCTGCAGAGGACTGCCTGATTAATGCCTGGGGAGAAGACATGGTCCTTGTTTCGTGATAATGGTAATTAATCCGATAAACAAAATGCATGTACAAAGTTGCGTTTCAGTAAAGGCTTGGCAAATTATAAAAGGGCCCAATGGGAAGAAATCTCTTGTATATTCAAGCTGGCACCGGGAAGTATTCTTTTTCTTTTTTTTTTTTTTTTTTTTTTTTTTTTTGCATGTGCATCTTTGTTGAACTGTTGTATGGTATAGAATGACTGAAATCATAGTCAACCTTCTATCTGAAACAATTTTGCCCTCTAATATGCACTTTGCTATCATTTTGTTGAATTGTAATAATGATGTGTGAAATTGTTTTTCCATTACAAATACGATACTGGAATATACCTAGTGTATTGGCACCAGAATTGAATCATCAAACTCAAAAGATAAAATTGCAGCAGCTATATAACTTTTTTTTTTTGTACAATAATTGATGACACTGTTACTTATTTGTATTCAGGTTCCAAAGCCAATGAACTTTTGCCTTGAGGCCCATGCAGATGAAAAAGGAGTAAAGCAGATTCTTCGCCTTATGCTTTCAAAATTTGTCCGACGACAACCAGGTCGATCAGATAATGACTGGGCAAGCATGTGGCGGGACATGCAATGCTTGCGAGAGAAGGCTTTTCCTTTCCTAGATCCAGAGTATATGTTGACAGAATTCTGCAGAGGACTGCTGAAAGCTGGGAGATTTTCTCTGGCAAGCAATTATCTAAACGGTACAGGTTCAGTAAGCTTGGCATTAGAAAAGGCAGAAAATCTTGTTATTCAAGCTGCACGGGAATTCTTTTTCTCAGCTTCTAGTCTATCTTGCTCAGAAGTAAGTGCATTCATGTTTTCTGTCTCATTGTTTATGACATTTGCCAAGGATTTGAAATGTTCACCCTCTTTCTATGTCCACAATGAATTATGTATCCCAAAATTTACTATCAAAATTTCACATATGGTTTCAGTCGTTCCGTCATGTCTTTGTTTCCAAAAGCACTCTTGAAGAGTCAGTTCCTTAAGTTCTTTTAAGGAGATTAGATACTTGTAACCTGCAAGAATTTTTTTAAGTTAGTATATTTTTGTCACAGGATCCATGTTCAGCTTTATGCATAAATGCTTATATGCTTGTATATTAGTTTTAACATATATAATAGAATATTTGTTTTGGAAGTGCCTTTCCTTTTTTCTATATAGAGTGATTCTTTTTATTTTACTCATTATATTAATGGAACTCTTTTCAGGTTTGGAAGGCTAAGGAATGCCTAAATTTATTTCCAAGTAGCAAACAGGTTAAAGCAGAGGCTGATGCAATTGAGGCACTAACTGTTAAGCTTCCAAATCTTGGAGTGACTCTTCTACCCATGCAATTCAGGCAGATAAGGGATCCTATGGAGATCGTCAAAATGGCAATCACTAGTCAACCTGGAGCTTATCTACATGTCGATGAACTCATTGAGGTTGCTAAGCTTCTTGGATTGAATTCTTCAGATGACATATCAGCTGTTGAGGAAGCTATTGCTAGAGAAGCTGCTGTAGCTGGTGATCTGCAATTGGCATTTGATGTCTGCCTTCTATTGGCTAAGAAAGGGCATGGTCTCATTTGGGATTTATGTGCTGCAATAGCGAGAGGTCCTGCCCTTGAAAATATGGATATAAGCTCTCGTAAGCAGCTACTAGGGTTTGCCTTGAGTCACTGTGATGAAGAATCTATTGGTGAGCTTCTCCATGCATGGAAGGATCTGGACATGCAACACCAGTGTGATACTTTGTTGATGTTGACAAGGACGAGTTCTTCTAACTTCACGAATCAAGATTCCTCAACTGTGTCACTTCCAGTGACAGGTATTCAAGATATTGTTGATCTCAAAGATTGTTCTAAACTGGTTGATGAAGCAAGTGGTGATGGCTGTGAATCTTGCATGAACAAAGTAAAAAATACACTTTCTTTAGTCGCTAAAAACTTGCTGGTTGAAAGTGGAATTGATTTGGAATATTTTTTGAGAGAAAATGGAAAGATCTTATCTTTTGCTGCTTTCCAACTTCCATGGTTGCTTGACTTGAGCCGGAAAGCTGTGAATGATAAGAAACTTTCTGACTTGATTCCTGGAAAACCATTTGTGAGCATTCAAGCACAAGCCTTGATAACTACTCTCTCCTGGTTGGTGAGAAATGGTTTTGCTCCGAAAGACAATGTTATTGCCTCTCTAGCAAAATCAATTATAGAACCGCCTGTTACAGAAGAGGAGGATGTCATGGGGTGTTCTTTCTTGTTGAATCTTGTGGACGCATTTAGTGGGGTAGAAGTAATAGAAGAGCAGTTGAAGATAAGAAAGAACTACCAAGAGATTTGTAGCATCATGAATGTGGGGATGACTTACTGTTTATTGCATAACTTTGAAGTTGAGTGCAATGGTCCTTCACAAAGGAGGGACCTTTTATTGAGGAAGTTTAAAGAGAAGCACACACCACTTAGTTCTGGTAAATTATTTTAAATCTTTTTGGACTTGGCAAAAAAAAAAAAACAAAACATGCAATACAATATTCTTGTGATTTTATATATGGTATCTGTTGTTAGTTAAAAGCACTCTGTTAGCATTTTAATTATATAATTTTATTTTTCCTTTTTAAATTCAGATGAGATCAACGAAATTGGTGCAGTACAGTCAACATTCTGGAGGCAGTGGAAGCTCAAATTAGAAGAGAAAAAGCGTGTAGCTGAACATTCTAGAGTTTTGGAGCACATAATTCCTGGGGTTGAAACTGCACGCTTTCTTTCAGGTGACTTTAACTACATTGAGACTGTTGTTCTTTCCCTGGCTGAATCAGTAAAGTTGGAAAAGAAGCGGATTGTGAAAGATGTGTTGAAATTAGCTGACACTTATGGTTTAGATCATACTGGGGTAAATGGATCTCCCTGACTTCATCTTTGAACATATGTAGTAGTTAATCACATGCTTGTTTGACTGCTTACATTAACATATTCTCTCTTCCTTCTGCAGGTCCTACTTCAGTACCTTAGTTCTATTCTTGTTTCTGAGGTTTGGACAGATAATGATATTATGGCTGAAATCTCAGAAGTCAAAGGAGAGATAACTGGTTGTGCTTCTGAAACCATCAAAACCATTTCCACAGTTGTGTACCCTGTAATTGATGGATGCAACAAGCAGCGACTTTCCTGTATTTATGGTCTCCTCTCTGACTGCTACTTGCAGCTGGAGGAAAAACAATCCTCACTAGCAATACACCAATTTTCTCCACATTTACCTGCTCTTGAGTTAGCTCATTTATACAAGGTCATTGGGCAAGAGTGCCAAAGGGTTTCCTTCATTAAGAACCTAAATTTCAAGAATGTTGCTGGTTTAGATGGTCTGAATTTCCAATCTTTTCGCAGTGAAGTGTGTGCACACATCAATGAATTTAACTTGGAACACTTGGCAAAAATGGTACAAACACTGACCAGTATCTATACCAGTTCGGTGCCTGAAGGTCTCATGTCGTGGCAGGATGTGTATAAAGTTTATGTTCTAGGATTGTTGACAACTTTGCAAAGTAGGGCTAGAATGGAGTTCAATGACAGAAACCCAGAAAAGTTTCAGAAGTTTATTAGTCAACTTGAGTTCACATATGATTCTTCTCAAATGTATATCAGGCTTTTGGCACCTTCCGATGCCCTGGACATTATGAAGCAATACCTAACTGTGATTATACCTCTGCATGATTGTTATGAGAGTATTCCGGACAACTCAACATGGCAGGATTGCCTCATAACCCTTTTGAACTTTTGGGTCAGACTAACTGAAGAAATGCAGGAAATTGCATCCACTGAGAGCTCTGTAGAAAAACTCGGATTCTATCCAGGAAGCTTGTTAAGTTGCTTGAAAGTTTTTATGAGGTTGGTGATGGAGGACATTGTATCACCAAGTCAGAGCTGGGGCACCATTGCCAGCTATGTCACTATTGGGTTGATTGAGGATTTTGCTGTTGACATTCTGATCTTCTGCAAAGCCATGGTATTTTCTGGTTGTGGCTTTGGAGCCATTTCAGAAGTGTTCTCTGAAGCAATATCACAACATGATATCAGTTCAACTTCATCTGGTAACTGTGAATCTCAGGATATTCTTCATCTCTACACAAATATTTTGGAGCATATTTTAAAACATTTGGAGAGTGGATCCGATGAAAACCAGAATTTGTATCATTTGTTATCGTC